ACAGGGATGTCTTCTTTCAACACTCCTATTCAAAAATAGTACTGGGCCCTAGCTGGTTTGGCTCAAAGGATAGAGCTCCTACCTACTGAAGGGTCCCAGGTTTGATTCCAGTCAAGGGCACTTGCCTGGGTTGCAGGCTCAATCCCCAGCAGGGGACGTGCAGGAAGTAGTTGATCCATGATTCTCTCTCATTATTGATGTTTCTATCTCTCTCTCCCTCTCCCTTCCTCTCTGAAATCAATAAAAATATTAAAAACAAAACAAAACAACAAAATAGTACTGGAAGTCCTATCCACAACAATCACACAAAAAGAATAAAATAAAAGGCATTCACAATTGTAAAGTAAGAACTAAAACTATCATAATTTGGCAATAACATGACACTATATATATATGGACCCCTAAAGATTCCACCAAAAAAAACCCCAACTAGAACTAATACAGCAATTCAGTAAAGTAGCAGGATACAAAATAAATATTCAGAAATCAGTTGCATTTTAATATATCAATAATGAATTATCCTTAAGGGAAACTAAGAAAACAATCCCATTTACAATTGCATTAAAAAAACAATCTAGGAATAAATTTAACTAAGGAAGTAAAAGACCCGTACTTGGAAAATTATAAGACACTGAAGAAGTTGCAGATCCAAATAAATGGAAGCATATACCGTACTCATGGATAAGAAGAATTAACATCATTAAAATGTCCATACTACCTAAAGCAATCTATAGATTCAATGCAATTCCTATCAAGATACCAATGGCGTATTTCATAGAACTAGAAAAAATATTCCAAAAATTTATATGGAACCACAAAAGGCCTTGAACAGCCACAGCAATTTTGAGAAAGAAGAACAAAGTTGTAATTATCATGCTATACTAAAAGGCAATGGTAATAAAAAAGCATAGTAGTGGCATAATAACACATTTAGATCACTGGAACAGTATAGAGTACGCAGAAATAAATCCATGTCTATATGGCCAATTAATATTTGACAAAGGAGGCAAGAACATAGGAGAGAGTAAAAATAGTCTTTTCAATAAATGATGTTGGGGAAGTTGAACGATACATGTAACTTCTTAAGGCCACCTTCTTACACCATATACACCATATTCAAGAATAAACTCAAAATGAATTAAAGACAAATGTAAGACTCAAAACCATAAAACTCCTAAAAGAAAACCTAGGCAGTAAAATCTCTGAATCTCTCTTAGCAATATTTTTTTTCCCTGATATATCTTCTTGGAAAAGGGACACACACACACACACACACACACACACACACACACACACACAAATAAACAAATGGGAGTACATCAAACTAAAAAGATTTTGCACAGTAAAGGAAACCTTCAACAACATGAAAAGACAACCCACTGAATGGGAGAATATATTCACCAATGATACATCTGATAAGGGGTTAATATCCAAATTCATAAAGAACTCATTCAAATCAATACCAAAAACAACAAAGAATCCAATTTAAAATTGGCAGAGGTCCTGAACAGACACTGCTCCAAAGAGGACACACAGATAACCAACAGACATATGAAGAGATGCTCAACATCACTAATATCAGAGTGATGCAAATTAAAACCACAATGTGATATCACCTCACACCTGTCAGAATGGCTATCATCAATAAATCGATAAACAAGTGTTGGTGAGGATAGGGGGAAAAGGTAATTCTAGTGCACTGTTTGTGGGACTGCAGATTGGTGCAGCCACTATGGAAAACAGTATGGAGGTTACTCAAAAAATAAAAAAATGGAATTGCCTTATGAGCCAATGATTCCACTTCTGGGTATATATCCCAAGAAACTCAAAGCACTACTTCAAAAGAATATATCTACCCCTATGTTCATTGCAGTGTTATTTGCAATAGCCAAACTATGGAAAGTTATAACATAAGTGCCCATCAACAGAGTAGATAAAAAAGTGGTGGTACATATATGTATAATGGAATATTACTTGGCCACAAAAAAATCTTACCATTTGAGAAGGCATGGATGGACCTGGAGAATATTACGCTAAGTGAAATAAGTCAGTCAGTGAAAGACAATTAGCATATGATTTCACTTATATGTGGAATGTAAAGAATAAAACAAACAAAATTGAAACAGACTCATAGACAGACAACAGAAAACAGACTAATGGTTCACAGAGGGGAGAGGGATTGGATGAAAAAAGAGGAAGGGATTAAAAAGTACAATTGGTGTCCTGGCCACTATGGTTCAGTTGGTTGCGCATCTTCCTGTGCACTGAAAGATTGCTGCTTCAATTCCCATTCAGAGAACATGCCAAGGTTGTGGGCTCGATCCCCAGTAGGGGGTTTGCAGGAGGCAGCAAAATGATGTTTCACTCTCACATTGATGTTTCTCTCTCTCCCCCCGCCCTCCATTCCTCTCTCTCGAAAAATCAATAAAAAAAGTTAAATTGGTAGTTAAAATCACAGGATGTGAAGTCTAGCATAGGGAATCTAATCTAATAATAGACAAACATGCTAACTGACCATACCTCCACTATGCTTCCCATTGGCTAATCAGCAGGATATGCAAATTAACCCAACCAAGATGGCGGCCAGCAGCCATGCAACTGAAGCGGGCAGGAGGCTTGCATGCTCCAGTGATGGAGGAAGCCAAGCTTCCTCCCTGCTGTGGCTGGGCTCTGAGCTCCACTCTAAGCAACAAAGTTGCAATTATAGAAGCTAAACAAACCCCAGATACCTGCTTTCAGCAGGCTGTGGCCTAGGAGCTGGAGCGGCAACTAAGTTTCAATTATAGAAGGTAAATAAATCTCAGAATAAAAAGCAAAAGAAAAAGAGGAGAGGCTGGGAGCTTCAGTAGCTGGCTTGGCCAGCCTGAAAACAGCCATCAGCCCCTCATCCAGACTGGCCAGGCACCCCAGTGGGGACCCCCACCCTGAAGGGGGTGCAGGCAGCCTGAAAATAGCCATCAGCCCCTCACCCAGGCTGGCCAGGCACCCAAGTGGGACCTCCCACCCTGATCCAGGACACCCGTCAGGGCAAACCAGCAGGCCCCCACCCGTGCACCAGGCCTCTATCCTATACAGTAAAAGGGTAATATGCAAACTGACCCTAATAGCAGAAAGACTGGGAATGACTGGTCACTATGACACACACTGACCACCAGGGGGCAGACGCTCAATGCAGGAGCTGCCCTCTGGTGGTCAGTGAGCTCCCACATGGAGGAGCTCTGCTCAGCCACAAGCCAGGCTGACAGCTGCCAGTACAGCGGTGGTGGCGGGAGCCTCTCCCGCCTCCTCAGCAGCGCTAAGGATGTCTGACTGCAGCTTAGGTCTGCTCCCTGCTGGCAAGGGGACATCCTCCAAGGGCTGCCGGGCTGCCAGATGGATGTCTGATTGCCAGCTTAGGCCCAATCCCCCGAGGAGCAGGCCTAAGCCAGCAGGTGGTCATCCCCCGAGGGGTCCCAGACTGCGAGAGGGTACAGGCCGGGCTGAAGGACCCCCCTCCCCTCCGAATGCACAAATTTTTGTGCACCGGGCCTCTAGTACAGTCAATAATATTGTAACAACTATGTATGGTACCAGATGGGTACTGGAAATATTGGGAGGGGGGAGCACTTTGTAAAGTATATGATTGTCTATCCATTATTCTGTATATCTGAAACTAATACAAAATGATATTAAATGTAAACTGCAAACAAAAAGAATAAAATCTTGCCATCTGCAACACCATGCATGAACCTAGAGGATATTATGTCAGACAGAGAAAGACAAATGCCATATTATTTCACTTGTATGTGGAATCTAAAAAAAAACAAAATAAACAAGCAGACTAGAAACAGACTCAAAGATAGAGAACATTTGGATGGCTGCCAGATGCAAGGGGGTTGGGAGGATGGGTGAAAAAAAGGTGAAGGAGTCAGAACTACAAATTGTAGTTATATAGTTACATAGGTATATAAAGCACAGCATAAGGAATATAGTCAATATTATAATACCTTTTATGGTGTCAGATGGGTACTAGATTTATTGGGGTGATCATTTCCTAAATTATATAAATGCTTAATCATGGGTTTTACACCTGAAACTAATATAATATGTATGTCAACTGTAACTGGAAAAAAAAAAAAGGAAGGTGCTAAAACATTTGAGAATCTAGTGAATGACAGGCAGAAACTTTACAGAAAAACAGAGCACAGAGGATGAAATCCTAACCCTTTGTAATACAAGATGAACAATGTGTCAACCATGTGAACAGGCACATGCACAGATAAGACTATTGGCTAATGGGGTGTTACCTTGGCAACTGTTTGTTCAGCAATGGTGCTGGGCCGCCGCTGGCGGGCATCGAGCCTCTGCTCCACAGGAAAACTGCTCCTATGTGATTTCAGGCGCTCCACCAACAAGTAATAAATGGCAGCGAAGTGATTGTAGCTCTTGTTCTGCAAAGACTGAAAGAGAAAACAAGTGCTGAAGGCCAAGAGCCATAAAAATCAATCCAATGATCTATACCTGTCTAAAAAAAGATTGAAGAAATAATGTTTTCTTTCTTACAAACAGAGTAACAAAGTATGCCTCAAAATAAAAGCTGTTCCAGAGTTTAGAATAAAAGACAGATCGTTTCAAGTTTCTAGTTTTAATTATATACAGGGTGATACCTTTAAATGACAGGCCCTTTGATACTAACAGGATCCATTTATTTTTCTGCATTCAGAGAAAATGCCATCACTGTCTCATGCAGACATTCCCCAATGCTGTCATGTGGTTCCATCTCATAGCTGTAACTATGGCGTAAGGTCGGTTAGCAACCTGAGCCCAGAGGCTCTAAATCTATAGCTTCTACACAAGTACAAGCCACTGCAAACTCTGAAGTGACTGATTAAAGTCTTTGGGGAACTTTCTGGTGATTATTTTAGGCTGGAAAATGACATTTGGATGCTATATTAAGAGACTCTGTGTCTCCATTCCTAGGTAATTTTTTCCTCTTGCTTTTGCAATCCAGCCCTCTTGAAACCTTGAATATAAAGTTGCTTCCCAATTTTTCACATCCCTCATCCGCCAGATTTCCCAGGGTACTAAGGAAACAGAGAAACAACTGCTCCTTTCACTTCCAATTCCACCTGACAGTCTGCATGGGCGCTGTGCAGTACACCTCAGAGGGCAGAGCACTCAGCACAAATCCCAGACCAGTGGAACTGTGCTCACAGCTGCCACTCTGTACCTACTTCATGGACAAGTACAGGAAAACATCAGAGCGCATGACAAGCAAAGCAGGAAAGCCAGTCTGGTTTCACTTATGGCTACACTGAAGGAAAAGGCAGTACAGTTCAGAGCACTTAATATTCATAAGGAAGCATTTAATATTTTTTGTTATGGTCCCTCCTTAAAAGTACTGTTTTCTGTTTGTTTGTTTTACTGTTGTATAGGTATTAAGAATATGTATATCTTATGAACATGCTATTAAGGAAAGAAAGAAATGGAAGTGACGAGAAATTTTCTAGGTTCAAACCTTCTCGTACTTCCATATCAGGAAACTACCCATTTTTGTCGTCTCGGTTTCTCCAGTTCACAAGCTAAATCCAGTTGGCTTTCCTAAATCTGATGCCTACCATTCTTGTTTTCTGCTCAGACCTCAGCCTTGTTCCATAGCTGCACATTTATGTTCCATATAAACTAGTTTATTACCAATGTCAAACGTTATGGTTCATCTTAGAAGAAAATTGCTACTTTGTATTTCTTAAGCTTCTGTCTTTGTCTTTTTCTCAGTCCTATATACACTGAGTGGCCAGATTATTATGACCGGCCAGATTATTATGACCACACCATCAGTACTTGGTTGGGCCCCCTTTTGCCTTCAATACTGCGGCGATTCTTCTTGGCACTGACTCCACGAGATGTTGAAAGGTGATGTGAGGAATCTGACACCATGCCTGATGAATGGCACTGTCCAGTTCTGTGAGATTTGATGGTTGTGGAACCAGCTGCCTGGTGGCTCTTTTAACTTCGTCCCACAAATGGTCAATTGGATTGAGATCTACTGATTGTGCGGGTCACTTAAGCAAGGTAAAGTCTCCCTCGTGTCCTTGAAACCACTCCTGCACAATACTAGCACCGAGGCATGGCGCACTGTCTTGTTGGAAGAAGCCGTCTCCATTGGGATATGCCATCAACAGGATGAAGTTGATCAGTAACAATACTTAGGTATGTTGTGCTATTCAAACATTTATAATGATCTGTCCCTCTAGCAATTTCAGCGGGAAATTATAGCTAATTTGCCTACAAACATCAGGTGGTCATAATAATCTGGCCACTCAGTGTATACCATTCCTCTTGAGTTTTTTGGCAGATGGGGCAAAGGTAGGAATTTATACGTTGAGTAAAAGCAATAAAACACACAAACATTTGATTAATCTTCAGGGAATATTGAACAGTATGTCTAGGTGCTGGGGATGGCCATGCTAAACGACTAGGCTGATAGGTATGAGCATGAAATTACAAGTTACTGAGTACAACAGAATCCTAAAATTTTTTCAGTCAAATCTCTGATCACTTTACCTCAATGGTTTTCTGCTGATCTATTCCAAGGCTGTGCATCAGTCGCAGAACCTGTTCATTAAACTCCCCAATGGATGGCTCATTTTCTTGGCCTTGTGGATAGAGAACAGGTCTCTGTACAGGAACTTCTATGAGCATCCATTTATGCTCCTTGATTTGAGCTATGGTTAGCCTTTTGGACGGGTCTAGGACCAACATCCTTCGAATAAGGTGCTCACAATCTATGGAAAACACAATGGTACAAAAGTCACGTCAATCGCCTTGCACTTCAGGGTGTTTGCTTTATTCATGTGACTTTGTACAATGGCAGTAATCTTTGTGTCCTCCACAGTGCCTACTGGAAAGCAGAAGGTCAAATGAATAAATAAATACATAAAGGTTACTTATGTTTGTCAAGTACTCAGGGTGAATGTTGACACACAAAATTAACCATCAATGTGAATGAATACTTAAGAAAAACAGAAGGCTGCAGGCCTATCCAATTTTGTGCTAAATAAACTGCTTTATCAACTGAAAATATCTAGACACAGACTTAGATTTCCACTAGAGGAAAAAACAAGCCTTCTTTCTAAAATAAGCAAATAATAAATGATCCACAGTTATGTCTAAGACTCTGTGAGGCAAGAGCTAGCCTGTGGACTGTTGCTTTCTCCTCATCAGTGCAACTGAGACAAATGTATGTGAAATATTACTTATTCCTGATTACACTAAGAAAACTGTACTGCTGCAAGTCTGGGCACCAGCTTATATCCTGAGCTGAAATCATGCTCTTTACCATCCCACATAAGCTTAGATCACTTGGTAGGTGCCAGGAATTCTGCTAAGTGCTTTATACAGATTAATTAATCCTTAAACAACAGCTCTCTTAAGAACTATGGTTTTTTCCATTTTATAAATTGAAGAAATGGAAGAACAGAGAGGAGATATGAGTGAACTTAGGATTGAAACCAGGCAGTCTGGTGCTAAAGTCTACACTCTTAACTACTGAAGCATCATTTCTACCGTTTCTAAGAACAAAAGCATTAAGGGTGATAACTAAAAACTAATCAAAGGAGTAAACCTAACTGCTGCCTATGTGCATGAATTTCGTCCACTGGGCCTCTAGTCCAATATAAAACTGGTTGGGATTACAGCACTTCATCTTAATTCAATAGTTTTGCCAGCTGGTTTTCAAATTTAATTTAAACATTTTAATTTTGCAACTTCCTGCCAAAAGATATGATAAAATCCATTTCAAACTTAGAGTAAAATTGTTGTGAATCTGTATCTACAAAGAACTTCTCTAAGGCTAAAATAAATGTGGGACATTTATGGACGGAGAATAAATGGGGATACTTGTGTTTTTAATCTGGGAAACTTGTTTTCAGTTAGGAAGGCTGGAACTTTCCTCACTTACACGGAGAGAGTTGCTTATTTCTATGGCTTTTAAAGTAACTCAGTCACTTCATTTAGCACCCAAACTCTTAGAAAAAGGGAGGCTTTGCCTATGCGTTTCATTAGGAGCACAGACTCCGTAGTGCCCAATTAGTAAGATGAACAGGTTGTTACCTTCTGACATGAAATACGGAATCCGGAATCTTCCTTCCAAAACTCTTTGCCTCAAAATAGGAAGAGTAGGTCCATCAAAAGGCAGAGCTCCACAGACAAGGACATAAAGAACAACTCCCATGCTCTAGGAGAAGAAAATAACGGGGTAATTTTCATACTGAGAACTTCAAACACTCTTTGTTTCCCAAAATATCCCTTAATATCCTATGGACTAAAAAAATTTCTGTTTGAATGTACTATTTTCTTGAATTTGAAAAAAAATCTGAAATGCTAATTATTACAATAAAGTATCCTATAATAAATATCAAAATATGTTAATCATTTGATTTCTACTTAACTTTAAATTACTGCTGATGTTAGAATAAGAACATCTGTCTTTAGAAATTCTTTCCTAGAATCCAATTCAAGATGCTCAACTAATTATAGTCCAATGGGTAAGGAAAGTATGAACTACTGCCTATGTGTCAGACACAAGAGCTTTAAAGATGAGCCAAAGTACCAAGTATTATCCTTATAGATGCATTTAACACAACACAGCAAAGCAAAGAAATACCCAAATATCCAGCTGTGGTCCTTCATACTGCTGCCCTTCAAAGACTTCTGGGGCTGCATAAGGGGGGCTGCCACACCAAGTTGCCAGCAGTTCACCACTTTTAAAGAAATTTCCAAAACCGAAATCTGTTGGAGTGGAAATAAATGTTACTTTCATCTATGGTCTCAAACTATACTGAATTTCTCTGTAACAAATTTTATATGCTATATTAACGTTATCACTGCTATTTATTTTGTGAGGAATGGGATGACATCTATTCCATTTTCCTAGCACTCAGCATATATTCAGCATTCAAAAAATATTTCTTGAATGATTGTATTAATGAATCAAGTTTTCTTCTCAAAGATAATAAGAGATTAGAAAAAATACTTTAATACTGTATTTTTAAGGCTAAAAGAAAATCCACTGGTGTGGACAACAAATTGAATTTGATAATCTCAGAATTTTAATTACTCCATGATTTAAGAGTTAGCTGTCTTAATATGGTCTACAAGAAAGGAACTAAATGAGTAAAACTCTAAGAGATTTAAGGGTGCATGGGGGAGTGACTGGCTGTTCCTACAGTCATTATCCCAGGGCAGCAAAATGTATAACCTTTTAAGGCAACTGAGTACAGTGTTTCCTAAGTAACAACTCTCTAAGTGCTGGCCCACGCATCTTGATATAGACAGATACCTACCTGAATAGCTAATTAACATGTGATGGCTACATGGCCCAGTCACAGGCCACCTATCACTAGTACTTACTCATTTGTGGAATGCAGTGGCATTATACTTCAAAACAGTTAATGGCCTTCCCCAACTACTCATACTGAATCTATATCTTCAATATACAGCATGCACTCTGGAAATACTATACTCACATGCCTTCAATATGCATGAAAATTACAGCAGAATTCAGTGAACTCTGGTATAAACACAAGCTTGTGCCCTTCTGCTCAGCCTTCACATAGTCTCATGTTCTTACTGACGAAACAAGTTCCTATTATTTTGTCAGGTATAGCCCCACTGTTCTGTTACAGCCTGACTGAAGAACACTGCCCTAGTGACAGGTACTGGCTCTGCACAGCACTGATGGACAGTGAGCGGCCCCAGGGACTGGATCAAGTCTCTAGTGCCAGACTGACTGGCTGTGTGACTTTGGATCAGTCTTTGTGAGCCTTAGTTTCCCCATGTGTAAAGCTGAAATAATAAATATACATAGTCAGCAGGTTGTTGTGGGAATCCAACGATAATATAAACTCACAATCTTCACACCGTGAGTGTGTACCTTACATGGAAGCATTCTTTCAGCTAGTTGATTTAAAGCTGGTGGCAACCAGCAGTGTCAGTAACTACGGTCACAATTTCCAACATTACAGCTTCATGGCAGAGTACAAACTAGGAAGTTAGAGAGAACTAGAGCTGGCCTCCCATTTTGCCACTTTCTAGTTTCAAGTCCTCTAGGAAAGTAATATAACTTCCCTGAACCATAGTTTCTGTATCTATAAATGTGGGGATACCCACCTGCCAAGACAGGATGCTGCGAGGATTAAGGCAGATTAAGAGTATAAAATGCCTGGAGCCTATGTGAAACGAGCTCCCTTCTCCTTGTGTGGAGCATCATTATCAACTACCGCCTTTCAGAGAAAAAGGTCCTGAGAAAACACACAAGAAAGGTAGGAAAAGTATAGTGGAGCTCAAGGGTTCAGAAGAGAAAAGGGTGCATGGGGGAGAGCCTCAGGCGCAGTCTACACCTGGTGGAGCAACACTGTGGTCTGTCCTTGGCATCCAGAAGTACGAGACAATGAGAACTTCTTCCTTCTCAGCTTCAGTCCTATACTCTGTTTTCCAAAAAGACGGTGAGAAAGGTCTTATTTTCTCAATTCCACCTCTAAGACTAACGACTCACCACACAACATATGTCCACATTGATACACTTCTAATAATCTAGAAAACCTATATTCTCAAATGAGTCAAGAACTACATGTTCAAATAATATTTAAAGAGGAAAATGTTAATTTCACGCACACAGAAAAGCACACGGAGCTCTGCATGAGTGTTTGGAGATCCTGAAATAGGTCCGATAATTGCTGTGCTTCAAACCATAATCACAGGATGAGTTTTAGCACACGTAGTTGAGGATACACTCCAAGCAGCATTGTAAAGTTTTAATGTCTCAAAAAGCCTTTCCAGAACTCCTTCATTCTGAACTTCCCTGGACTCTGGTGGAATGAACTCAGGGGTGACTGGGCAGGGGCTAGGCAGGAAGCAGCCTGGCCTTTTTATTGCCTGAGCTTGCTCACTGTACATTTCCTAGGCATGAAGAGGCGAGGGCAAGGAAAGCGTCACGTGCTTGTGGCATTCCAGGCTCAACCTTGGCATTACATGTCTAGGACACAGAAGTGTCTTGTTAACTTGTGAGGAGTGGTTACCAAGCAGATGTGTACTTCTATCTCCTGTAAGTAACTAAAGAAAATTGGAACTTGAGCCTGTAGAAACAATAAAATAACCAAAAGACAATGAGGTTTATGAAGGCTATTATTAATGGCATATATGCAGATGTTTTCTATAAGCTTGTCAAAGTGCTTATACACATTGTATTTGTAATCAATCATCTGATACACCAGTGAAGGAAAACTGTAGAGTCAGGCAGATTTGGAATCAAATCCTGGGTTTTCACTTAGCTGTGTGATCTTGGATAAATTACTTAACTTCTCGAACAGAGCCTTGGTTCATCATTTGCAAAATGGGGATAATACCTACACTTCATAAAGTCTCTGTGAGCAACTTATTGTATATTATCTATTATAAATAGATAATATATAATGCATGAGTTACTCAAAAGAATAGAAGAATAGTAATTCTTCCTCTTCTTGCTTTACTTATCTGCCTTCTCCATCAGACTAAACTCCTTGAGAGTAGAGAGGGGAATGATATATGTCTGAACTCCCCAGCACTTAGCACATGCTCTCTGTAGAGAGCAGCCATTCAATGAGGGTTTGCTGATGAATATACTGTCATCTCTCTTGGAAGTACTTACTATGTGTCAGAAACTTCTCTAGGCCCTCTGAAGATGATTTCTTCTTAATAACCCCCTTTGGTATCCTTACAGGGTTATTAAGAGAAAGTGAGGGTAGAAAGTTAAGGACCTTGCTAGAATTTATGCTAAGTTGTAGAACTGGAATGGAAACAAAGTCCTCACTGTTAACTGCCACCTTTGTGTCCTTCCTGGCAGTGATTTGTAACTATTTTTGAACAAATTAATAATGGTCAGGTTTAAGAAGTGGCAATGGAAAGGCACTTAAAAAGAAAAGCTTTTATTTCTTCACAGGAATCTGGATGACTTGCTTCACTCAGTCTGCAGCTTTCTGCCTAGAAGCACACAGTAAAATGAAGGATGAGCAAGAGGGATGAGATACGAAAATGGCACAGCTATGCAGGATTTGTTTCTTATCGCCATTTATTCAAATGCAATGCATTAATGTGTCATCCTACCAACCAAATTCACTGCATTCTTTCATTAAACATTTGAGTGCATACATGGATCAACCACTGTGCAAACACAGAAGAGATTCTAACTACAACAGAGGATAATAAAAGACAGTACATTTTCATCTGAATTTTGGAAAGCATTAAGAAAACGATCACTTGAGCATTATTCCTCTTTATGCTAGACCCAGATCCAGCCTGGCCTGCTGGAAAGGAAAGATTCTTCGAGTCTAATTTCTTCTGCAGTGCTCTGATCTGTAAGTTAATTCCTAACACGATGGCCGCTATGTCCCTCAGCCGTTGTTTCCTATTTCTCCGTCATAAATTGTATGCCATATAATGTTGAATTCGCTTTGTCATGAATATTTATTTTATTGTTTGGGTTGCAATTCAATACTATTGTTATACTGTTATTTATTTTGATGCTTTGGCTATTAGGAGCTAACTCAGGTTGGCTCCTTTCAACATGTCATGTCTTTTAAAAATTTCATTTTAGCCCTGACCGGCTTGGCTCGGTGGACAGAGCATGAGCTTGCAGACTGAAGGGTCCCAGGTTCGATTCTGGTCAAGAGCATGTACCTTGGTTGCGGGCACATCCCCACTAGGGAGGTGTGCAGGAGGCAGCTGATGGATGTTTCTCTCTCATCAATGTTTCTAACTCTCTATCCCTTTCCCTTCCTCTCTGTAAAAAAATCAATAAATTATTTAAAAAAACAAAAATTTCATTTTAAGTATTTCCTTATTTTTCTGGCAACAGAAGATGTTCCAGGCTCATCTTGTATTTTCCCTACCCCAGCCTTGAAATGAACCACTTTCCCAGAGGGGACCTGGTTCCCTTTACAGAGGAATGACATTTAGAAACCAAGACTAGGACCTAGAGGAGCTCATCACAACTGGGATGTCACTGCTTCTAAGCCCTGTCAGTAGACAGGAAGTGTATGTATGAGTGCTAGTTCATAATAAATACTTGTATTTATTTTTGTACCTATCTATATGTGTATATGTTTTCTTAAAACCCTTCATTTCATACTGATACTTCTCACACTGATCCAGGGTTCAGCCTAGAATTTTTATTTATTTATTTTTTAAAATATATTTTATTGATTTTTTACAGAGAGGAAGGGAGAGGGATAGAGAGTTAGAAACATTGATGAGAGAGAAACATCCATCAGCTGCCTCCTGCACACCTCCCTAGTGGGGATGTGCCCACAACCAAGGTACGTGCTCTTGACCGGAATCGAACCTGGGACCCTTCAGTCTGCAGGATGACGCTCTATCCACTGAGCCAAACCGGTTAGGGCTAGAATTATTTTGATACTATTTTTATTCATACATAATCGAGCAACTCTGAAAAAATTTTGAAGGTATAAGTGAGGCAGGATAGAAAGAGGTTAGGGGAAGCTCCCAACAAGTGGAATGAGAAAGTAAAAACAGACACTGGAAGCCCGATAAACTGTTAGGGCCTATCACCAGAGCCCCCACTTCCATGTATGATTAAAAGTGAGACAGTTTATGGCAGGAAATCACTGAGGTGGTGACAGAAGTCAACAAGAACTGGCTAACACCAGATCAATCCAAGATGGAGGAAAAATTCACTGGAAACTGACCCCTAAGCTCGTTATACCATCACTAGAGGCCAGGTGGACAAAAATTTG